GGACCAACTAGAAGCTGTGTAACTTTGAGCAAAACACTGTTTCGACTGTTAAAGGTCAGCCAGTTCTTATAAGCTTTATTTGCTAGCTAGTTAAAATGCTAGTTGGCTTTAGCTTTCCAAATTACCAAATGGCAGCTGAGGTGATTCTAAATGATATCTTATGCTAAAACGATATTGATGACAATACAGAACAATAACTAACAACTTTTTTTTTTACAATAACAGCCAACAGTAATGCAGGTCAAAGGCAATTAATTTCAGATGTTTTGTGTTTCGATTTGCAGGCATAAAATAGACATAATCAAGTGTTTGTTTCCATGAAAGCAAAAGCAGGATTTGTAAAAATGTTAATTATTAAACCTAACACTAAACGTGCCTTACAGGCAGCTGGGTGCTCTTTGTGTAGCTGCCCAGGTGGAAAAGTGAAATCTTAAGAGCCAGTTTGGGTCTATGAGGAGCCATAAATGTTATAAATATTGCTCAGAATATGCGGAAACAGGAAGAGCAGACAGGGCAAAGAGAAGGACAGTGAATACAACCATTTGAGAGGTTTTCTTATGGCAGAGTCCGGACCTGGTCTGAATCAGCCTGGATACGGGATACTAAGGCCCAGACGGCGTCACCCCTCCCTCTTCCTCCTGTCTGGGAGCCGGAGGTGAGCAGAGTCAGGTAGCAGCTGAATGAGGGCACTTGTGGAAAAAGACTCGAGCAGTCTCCGACACAAAGACAGCATTTAGAGAGTGAGGGGCCACATCTGGAGGGAAACTCAAATACCAACCAATTAACGACAACACCTCATCCTCGCTGTGGACAAAGGTGTCGTCAGGTTTCAGTGCTCCACTTCACCTCCGTTATTCTATTTGTGCTCTACCCGTTTCAGTTTCACAAGCAGAATTTCCTCACCTGATATCAGCTGTGTTCGAACACTTAATCTCTTACATGATTTTATATAAATAACTTCTCGTTTTTTCCATAACAGTCAAAAACCTCAAATATATTCAGTTTGCTGGATATCTTAGCAGAGGAACTAGACTCAGTGAGTTTATAAACATTAATAAAGTTAAAAAGCTGAAAACATTCTCACATTAAAGATTTATTTGACTTGATTCTTGAAAACAGAGTAAATTATTTGATGATTAAAGCAGACTAATCGTACCTCCTGACTGCATGGAGCAGGTGCTCATTTCACCTGCTAATTTACATTTTTTACAAGACCTTTTTCATTTTCACTAAAATATATATATATATTTATATTTCTGTCTTTCAAAGAGATTTTTATATATTTAGGTCAAGTTTTTAGTCCTTTACCCAGTGAATGATGCATCTCTCGCACAGTCACAACATCATACACAAATCCTGTACACGGCATTATGCACAAACAGATTTCTTTCTGTGCCCTGATATCCCCAGAGCAGCCTGCTAACCAGGATACTCGTGCCCTGTGAAGCACACTGTGATGTTTGTTGGGCTCTGAGCGCCGCAGCTGAATGGATGCAGTGTGACACGGACAGGAACCAAAGTGCTGACGAGCCGCTTTCACCACACAGTCGGCGTGTGGACGCCTTGTTAAGAGCTGAACTCTCTCAGGCACTGTGCATGTGACCACCATTTAGAGAATCATCAGCTATGTGGGCTGTACAAAAAATGTATTCCTTAGTTTCATTGCATATTTGAAAATCACACTTACATCTTTCCGATCATCAAACATATTTTAATATTACACAATGTTAACCAGGGTAAACAGAAAATGCAGTTTTTAAATCATTATTTCATTTATTAAAGAGAAAAAGGCTTTCCAAACCTGGCCCTCTCTAACAAAGCAATTGTGCCCTGTTAAATCATGAGTTAACTGTGATTAACCACATTTAGTTCAATTTCACTGGTCACACCCAAGCCTGATTATTCCCAAACCTGTTTAAGCAGTAAATCACTGACGCAAGCTAAAAGACCTCAAAAAACAACACAACATGCCACGGTCCAAAGAAACAGCCATTATCCACACAAGGACAAAATCGAACAGTGCTGAACCTTCCCAGGAGCAACTAGCTTGACAAAATTACTCCAAGAGTGAATCGATGACTCATCCAGGAGAGCCAGAAACTGCTGCTGAGAAATAAAAACCCACAAAGGCTCGCCTCACATCTGCCAACAAACATCTGGATGATCCCTGAGACTTCTGAGAAAATCTTCTGTGGACTGACAAGACAAAAGCAGAACTTTCTGGGAGGTCTGAATCCCGTTAACACAGCATTTCATAAAGAGAACATCACAGCAACAGTCAGACATGGTGGTGGTAGTGTGATGGTCTGGACTGCACTGCTGTGGACTGCTCAGGACGACTCGCTGTAACTGATGGAAACATGCATTCTGTCTATCAGTCCATGAAGCTTAAGTTCACCTTGGTTCGCCAGCAGGACTACGATCTGAAACACAGCAGCATGTCCACCTCTAATGGCCTTAAAACCAAAATGAAGGTTTAGAAGTGGCCGAGTTTAAGTCTGGACGTAAGTCAGACGGAGATGCTTTGACCTTAAACAGGTCGTTAATGCTGGAAAACCCTCCAACGTGACTGAAGAGTGGAAGAAAATTCCTCCACAGCGATGTGAAAACCTCACTGAAGTTATCACAAATGCTCGACAGACTTCTTGCTGCAGAGGTTGGCACAACCAGTCATTAGGTTTAGGGGGCAGTTACTTCTTCAGACAGGACATTTTTTGATGATCTGAAACGTGTGTCAAAAAAATATAAATCAGGGAGGAAGCAAATTTCACAGCGCTGTAAATCAAGGCCACGGTAACAGAGGACAGTCACAGCTGAGGCCAACAGCGACGGCTGGATAGTTTTTGGGAGCTCGTCTCTGTTAGAGTCAAAGAACTGCAGGACGTTAAAAAGGTCGAGAGACTCGACCGAGGAGACGCTCGAATCGGAAACACGGTCGATACGTCAGAACTTAACAAGCCGAATGATTAACGGCTCTGGGTTTGTTTCCCCTCTGCGACTCTGCTGAGTTAATTTATAGCTTTTCCAAGAACATCCAGCTTTGGCATCTAGTTATTTTTTACCAGGTTTTGAGACGCATCTTCCAAAGCTGGTTCAGGGATGCGCCTGTATTAAATGCAGGAGTCTGGTGCCTCTTTTGGACATTATAATCCCCCGAAGAACTTCTGTGTTGACATCTTTTACTTATTTTGACCTGTAATGTGTATCACTTGCTGTCAGTATCCAGGCAGAGCTGCCTGAACTTGATCTGAATGTGTGTGTCAATGAAGCCGGAGATTTAAACGTCTAATCTAATGAAGCGCACTCCCGTACAGTACACACTCCCTGCTGCCCGGACGCTCACATTACTCATTTACAGTAAATGAGTGGCAGAGCTGAACACGCGCACACACACACACGCACACACACTGTTTCTGGTTGACAGATGGTTCGCTCTGTGTGAGGAAGCCGATCTGATTCAGTACAGAGACCCCCCGTCACCTCCTCCCTCCTCCTCTTCGTCCTCCTCTTCACTTTGTACCTTCTGCTGTCGTCTCGTTTCGGTTTCCTCTTCTCGTGTTTAAATATTCTCCTCGTCTGTCTTTAGTTACCTTCCAGATTTCTCTTCTCTCCGTGGACATGTTTAATGGGACTCCAGGATCCTGTTTACTGTTCTGTGGAAATTACACTTCCCTGAAGATATTACGCATCTTTAATACATTACACGTATTTTTAGTGTTTTGTTGGGGGGGGGGTTTAAACAGCAGAAATCTACTTTTAACCTTTAAACGCATGTAGACGGGAATAATTCATGACTGCATTACAGTGTCAAACTCAAAATCCGAAAATGGTTTTAAATTCGTACACATTGGAAATTCCTAAATCCAAACACAGTGACAGCAGTTTGTCTGACTAACGGTCTAACTGTCTGATTAAACTAACCAAGTAATCACTGTGATTCACCCTGACCCGTCAAACTGAGGGTTACACCTGAAGTTCCCTCCCAAAGCTTCTGATTCTGCTTTGAATGAAACTGATTCATTCAAAGCTTATAGCACGTACGCCTCATTCACACAAGCACTTTTTTTCTGCTTCTAAGCACTTTTTACCTGACATTCACACTCCAATGAGCACATCGGGAGCGACCGAGTGTTCAGTGTTTTTTTTTTAATGACACCGTGTGTGAAACAGCAACGTGTACACTCACAGGACACTTTATTAGGTACACCTTGCTAGTACTGGGTTGGACCCTTTTTGCCTTCAGAGCTGCTTAAACAAGATGACAGAAATATTCGTGTTCACATCTCAAAGGTGCTTGTTGGATCTGGACCTGCTGACTGCGGAGGCTGTTCGAGTACAGTGAACTCGTCGTCATGTTCAGGAGTCATAAAGGGATGGACGCAGTCAGAGAGAAAGCCTAGGTGCACTGCGGTGTTTAAACAATGACCACAAGAGTGGCACTACCGTCGGCTAAGAACAGGGAGGAACAACGATGCCTGGTCTGTCTCGAGTCTCGATTTCTGCTGCAACATTAGTAGAGTCAGAATTTTACCATTTTAACATCCTGAAAACATAGATTGATCCTGCTTTGCATCTGAAATGTTTGTTGTTGTTTTTATTTGGTGACTTCCTGTTACACGTAAATGATGCTCTGAGTTACATTCCTATCCCGCCAGCAAAAACTGATCATTAACTCAAACGGACTGCAACTTAAGAAAACACCAGCAATATGAAAAACGCTCCAAAAGCACACAAAACACAACAGAAATAGGAAAAAGGGAAATAGGAAAAAACAGATTTCCAAAAGCAGAGGGAAGTGTTTCTGGGGAGACAATAACCTGACGGACCAGTTGCAGGAACCAAAATATGCTAAGGATTGCGCTGGGAGACACTTAAAAGAAGTGGAGGATCTATCGGTTTTGTGAGGAAAGAAAAGATGAGAGGTAAGTGTGTTAGCCTAACTATTAGCCTAAATATCTGTCATCAGTATTATATGAATCCTGAGATTAAAACACACTTACCTAGCATGTTATGGTTCCTGCAACTGGTCCGTCGGGCTAAAAAAAAAAAAAAAAGTCAAGTGAGGAGTTTCTGTGTACATCTCACCCACCAACACAGCGTGTCATATAGTGATGGTAAATTTGATTCTTTTTACTGAATTGAGTTTTAATGAGTCACTCACCAAAGTGAATCGGATTTTGAGTCATTTGATTCACTGAGTCAGTTGACCAGAGAGTGCAAAAAATGTACATTTTCACTCAAACTTAATTTGTTTCTCTTTTCATGTAAATCCCACTGCTAAGATGAATGATATTTTATAGAGCAAAAAAGAGCAAAAACATTTCTAAAATTAAGCAATTTCCTATCAAAATTGCTTAATAAACATTTATTTTGTTTATTTTTATTTTATTAGTATTTTCCTTAAATGTGTTAAATATATATTTTCTCATCTAAATGTCCACTGAGCTGTGAGCCAGGGGGCGGTAATGCGCCTTAACATTGGTTGCCAACCAAGAAGAAGAAGAAGCTGTGAGCCAGGAGGGAGGGGGTGAGTGAGGGAGTGATTCACTTACGCTTAGGATTCAGCACAGGAGGGAGGGGGTGAGCGAGTCCTGAGTGATTTGCTTACGCTTATGATTCAACACAGGAAGGGAGGGGGTGAGTAGCTCAAATGTGCCGTTAGCATGTTAGCAGAGCGATGCTACTGTGAACCGAGGACCTATTTTCTTGATGTGAGCTTCTACTCAGGGTTTTTTCTTCCAGTTCAGAGCAGAAATGCTTTTGTTAAGAAACTGGCTGTTGTTTTCCCCCCCACAATTTTAATTATAAGCTAGATATATTTATACTAAGCGAATTAGTTTGCTAACAGAAACAGGGATGAGTCAGTGAGTCAGTTGGGCTTATGAATCATGATTCACGAGTCAGTAAAGTGATTCTTGAGTATTGAACGGTTCGTTCACGAATCGAACATCACTAGTGTCATATAAAAGCGGTAAGATAACACGGCCTCGTGTGTGTGTTTGATCTGTATTTGTGTGGAACTTTTCAGTTAGTTCAGTTTTGGGCCTAAGATGTGTAGGAAGATCCTGCTAAGCAGTTTTTTGTCCATCAGACTCAGAGATAAGCAGCCAAAATGATTTTTTGTTGCATTGATGGAGAGTTTCCTGAATCTGCTGAGAGCAAAGTTAGCACAGCACACAGAAAAAAAAATCAGCACATTTCTGATAATAAAACTCTGCTGATGCAACGCTGAGCTCTGCAGCCAGAAAAACTGAAAACAATTCACAGTCATGTTCCAAAAATCGTCTCTGTCTGTGAGGGAGATTCATTTCATTCATTCCACAATTTCGTTGTACGTGTACAATGACAGCAAAGCGCTGTTCTTCTTCATCATCTGCACGACGGTGGGTTCTCAAGCAGCTGATTGAACACCTCAAACTAAATATTTGAAGAAGGCAGAGCTCTCAGGACCACTTGCAGCTTTGTTTTCCTCCAGCTGAGCCGAGCTCTTGGAGTTTGGCGCTCCTCCAGGGTCCTGTTTGCTCACCAGAAATTGATTTGAACCCAGCAGGTAGGCTGACTTCAAAGACGCTCTATTCTGGACACTTTCTGTGTTCTGACACTTTTTTTAGGCTCCCAGAAGATCAATAAAGCTGCTTTGCTTCCTTCAAACGTCCACAGAATCACATCCAAGGGAATACGCAGAATGGCAGCAGTAGGGCTGGGCCATATTATACCGGTACAATGTTAGGCAACGATAGGAAAATGAAATATCGCGATAGAATATGGGTAAAACGCGCATGCGCAGTTCCTTTGTTTTCATACGCACATGGCCGATTGTTGAGTGAAACGGATGAACCAGAATTGGTTTGTAAAAATGGTGCAACTTCAGTGATGTGGAACTGGTTTGGTGTTTGTCCCTCAGATACACAACAAAGCACATTTTTTTGTAGAACATGCAAGCGGCCGTTCTTATTGTCGTATTTGTCGGACTAAGGTGCTCTAAATCTGGGAGTAATCTGGGTCCTAAACTCCGTATACTTCAGGTCAAACGAACACTGCAGCATCACTGAGAGTTAAAAACTGTCTAAATTCTTTCATCTTTAATAAAACAATCAGCATTGCTGCTTTACCAGGTGTAACTATGAAGTTTAACTTCCAGGCATCCATGAAAACAGAATTTATTACATTTAACGGAGTTAGAAGTTAGCAGGAAGCTAGCGGAAGTTAGCTCACTAGTTTCGTTAGTTACCTAAGCATGATATAGCATGTTCTGACTGAGAGATTTCTGAAAAAAATCAAACGTACAGCTCTGCTATCACTTCCAACATAAATGAAGACAGGAAACTAAACAGCAGTGACGTTTGTAGGGTTACTGAAGTTGGGCTAGCTGCTATATAATGATGTGCTACGTGATCGCTAGCAACACAGCTATGTTAGCATAACATAAACAGTGAAGCTGGAGGACGAACACTAACACTTTTCCACTTATAAAAGTTAACGTTAAAGTTCCTGATGGTTAGAGACAAATGCAATCGCATGGCAGGATGCTGTAAACGGACCAAACTTCAGTCAGGAGAACAACTGAGATAATCCATCCACGATACGAGGGTAGTCATTAATATACTGCAACAACATGGGAATAGAGCAGCTGCCAGAGAATTCAACATTAATGAATCAATGGTACAGAAGTGGAGGAAGCAAGAAGAATGAGTTTAATAAAGTTGGATTTATCTGATTGCTTTGTTTCGCTTAAAGTGCCTTATAATCCCGTGCACCTTATGGTCCGAAAAATGCGTACTGCACACTGCAGTTTAATGTTGCAAAGCACCTCTTTTTAACTTCAGTGGATATTATACATGGTTATGCTCAGGATATGTCAGCCCATTTCTACTGGAAATGCCTTTTGGTTAAACTTTCAGCAAGGAATTTGCATTTGCACTGTTACATTTTTATAAAGCTTTAATGTACATAAAAAACAGCTTCTTGTTTAAGTGAAAATAAATGGATGGTGTTTTTTTGCGCTAGTAAAGTTGTGGAGTTGTATTTTGTCTCGCATCAATTATATCGTCAGTTATATCGTTATCGCAAATTTTCAAATATATATCGTGATAAATACTTTTGGCCATATCGCCCTGCTCTAGGCAGCAGTGGTCGGGCTGTTGATTTAGTCAGACCCAGAAAATGCATAAAGTTTGAACAGAGATAAAAGTCATTCTATATGTTAAACTCTGTTGGGTTTTTTTTGTTTTGTGTGTGTGTGTGTGTGTGTGGGGGGGGGGTGATAAGGTATCACCGACCGTTGTTTGACTCGCTGCGTAGAAACCACCCAGGATATCATCACATGTGTGGAGCTGCAGTCTGCAAATGTTTCATTTTTTATGGTGACAGACGACAGAAAGGTGAACGATGTGGGTGTTTGAGGAGCTCCGACTGGCTAAAGCACAGAGAAAAAACTGGAACAAGAGGTCAAAGGTCACACACACAGCCCATCACATGCTGAAGGCAGTGGGTCACATGCTGTCCTCTTCATACCTCTGACACACACACGATGTCAAGTCTGTGCCTCCGAGCAAACACTTGTCAGCGCCTTTACTTCAAACAGACAAAATGTGTTTCAGCAGCACTACTCTTATTTTAGTTAAAGTTATAGTAAAAGTAAAAGTACAAACGGGCAAAGAACTGAGAAGTGAAAATACTCCTCATGAAAAACAGTCCAATTTAGAGTCATCTTGGATTAGTTACCTTTAACAGTATGAATATATTTAAAGGAGCAAACAGTCAATTAATCCAGTTACATGTGTCACAGCTATACTGACAGCACGTTTGAGCCTAGTCTGGCTCACAAATGGCACAGCTGGCTCAGGTCTGGTACTGAAAAATGAGGCGGGGGCGGATGTGCTCCAGAAGTTAATGCTTTAGCAACAGGAAATCTATCTTTGTATTATTTAACTGGTTACAATCTCTGAGATGCATGTTTAGTGCTTTTTCCTGTTACTGATGTTTGGATATAATGATTGTTGGAAGTAAGGGAAGCTTCAGAAAGAACAAATGGAAACAAGTTTTTGTTTTGAAGCCTTTTAAAACAGAAAGTGCGTAAAAGTGACTCTGACAGCTGGGTTTAAACCTTTCATGATGATAGTTATAACTGTAACGTGCGTGCCGTGGACCACGGTCCTGCAGCCGCACCGACATATGTGTGACGTTTTTTCTTCCAATCTAAAATCTGATTAAAATTTCTAAAAAAAATGTGATAAAATCTGAACTGAAGACTTGACGTGTGAGGGAGGTAATCTGCGGTTCAGGGTCTCTTACACACAGAGCAGAGGTTGTCAGGCGAGCCGAGCAGCTGGAGATAAACGACTGCAGCCGTCAGTCTGCTGACACGCTGCAGACAGTTCAGCGCACACATCAGTGAAACATCAGACACCTGCAGTGATGTCGTGTTTCCACTTCCTTCAACTCAACTTTATCTACACGCCGCTGCAAACCTGATCCGGAGCGGCGGTGGAAGGAGCGCTTGGGCCTTTCCATCAGCTCATCGCAAATTTCAAAGATAAACGAGTGCGCATGTCTCCAGTAATCAGTTTGGTTCCTGCTCATGGAAACTTCAGCAGAGATATCTGATAACATCATAGCAATGAATAACTGTCAGTGCTGATGAGGGGCCAGTTTATAAAACAAATGTGTCTCAGTCTGTGAACTGTTACGAGTGTTGCTGTGAGGATCAGCTGAACCAGTTTTATGGGAGCTGGAATAAAAACTCTAATATGGCAGAAATGGAGATCACAGCTGCGTTGAACTTGGCTTCATCACAATAATCCAGCTATTCTCAGCTTCTTCAAAGTGTGGCGTGGAGTTCAGTAGCACTTATACACACCTCCGACTTTGACCCAATGGTGGCGATAGAGTGCTTGAGGAAAAACATGTAGAGGCTACCTGAGACTCCACTGGCAGAAGAAAAAAGGGTAAAAAGTGTGTGGGAACGAGCATCAACCTCCGGGGCTTAAAAGCACCAATGGTGCAGTTCCTCCAACACCCACTAGAGGCTCTAGCA